GAGCAGGGAGCCCGATGTGGGACTCGATCCCAGGACCCTGGGATCATGACCTGAGCCGAAGGCAGACGCTTAACGACTGAGCCACCCAGGCGCCCTGCATTTGGTTTTATAAAAATCAAGCTGGTAGAACAAAAGTGGATAAAATACTTTTATGTGTGCATTGAGCTTGACACTTTATGAAGCCCTCTAGATATATTGTAGATCCTCACAGTACCGTTACGGGGTAGGTGTGGTTGTACCACTTTATGAACAAGGATACTCAGACCTGACAAGATTGTACATCTTACCCAGTGTTGCTCAGTAGCATGTGGCAGGGCTGGCCATGGAACCGGGGCTCTGGACCGTCGCTCTCTAGCTAGATGCGAGGTCTGCGTGACTGGAGCTCCTGTGTGTCCTGTGTGTCTGGCTCCTTCACATGTTCGCTCATGTTCAGAATGCAGGATGTGGGGTAATTGCCTTTAAGTACAATAAGGAGAAACAAACGGGCGAACTCACGAGGTCTTTTGTTTGGGATGGTACCTGTTTATCTAACTGACTCTCCCTGAATCACTAATAATGTCTTTGTAGCCAGGAGATGGGCCACCCTGTATTTGAGACATAGGCATCTTTCTTTGGGGTTCATAAAGTCATGTTTCAACGTTCTTGGTGCCTCGTGTTGGACAAACTCAAGAAGAGAGGGGTGACTACCAGGGAAGGGGCCACTAATGCCATCCTGAGGACACCCAAGGGGCTCTGAGCTTTCTGAAGGCAGGGTGGTCTGTAAGATTCTGTGGCACATGAAGGATTCCCTGTGGGTGACCCTCCATAGAAAAGGCGTTCGTCCCCCTGTAGTGAGCAACACGGTATAGAAGAGGGTGAGCAGGTTTTGGCAGATCAGATGGACTTCACCCAGGCAGACCAGGGCTGGAATTTTGGCTGCCATCTGATTCAGGGCAAGTCACTCAGCCTCTCTGGGCCCAGTCTCCATGTGCCTAACTGTGGTGCCTCCCGAAGGCCTGTCCTATGTGTAACACTGGTTCTCACTTTATTTCCTATGTTTTGAATGTCCAGCCTTCTTTGGGCTGATGTTGTCAGTGCTCTACCTACACCCGCTTGGATTCCCTTACCATTTTGGAGCCCATCTTTGGCCACACTTGCATTTCTTTGTCGGAGGCGGACTTCAAGACTGCTGGAATCTGCTTTGCCTGCACATTGGAGACCTGAATGCGCCTAGGAGATTGTCCACCCCCATCCCCTTTCTTAGTAACTGATGGGTACAAAGGTAAAAATGCTCCAGCCCCCTCGCCCCTGTCCAGGACGACTCTGGGGGTGTAGCTTTCAGTGGAGTTCGCTTGTGGACTGAGCCAAAGTATAACAGAGTGACTTGTCTGATAAGATACCTTGCCGGGCCTCCTTTCCTTTCTGATCCCACTTCCTTACTTGTTTGACTGGGAGCACTCCCTAATAAATCACTCACACATGAATCCTCGTCCCCAGGTGGCTTCTGGGGAACCCAATTCAAGATGCAGCCATGGAGCTGCTGCTCTCTTGGGCCTAAGACAGACCCAGGCAGGCTCACGGAGACTCCCAGAGCTCTTCTCTGACACCCACGTAAAAGGAAACTGCTAAAAATGTAAGCTTTCAATAAAGCACGAAGCAAACATTTTTTAAAAGCTCTTGAAGAAAACGATTTGCCTTTGTAATGTTTTGAAGGATTTTTCTTTTCTTTTTTTTTTTTTTTAAAGATTTTATTTATTTGATAGAGAGAGACACAGCAAGAGAGGGGAACACAAGCAGGGGGAGTGGGAGAGGGAGAAGCAGGCTCCCGGCCGAGCAGGGAGCCCGATGCGGGGCTCGATCCCAGGACCCTGGAATCATGACCTGAGCCGAAGGCAGACGCTTAACGACTGAGCCACCCAGGCGCCCCGAAGGATTTTTCATATACATAGTTTCGTTTGAGTCTCATTGCTCAGCTAATATAGAAAGAACTCAGTGATCTCCTTTTTCACATGAGGAAATTGAGGCCCAGATTGACAATGTGATTTGCCTAAAGTTACCCAGGCACACATGGCAGAACCAGGTCCAGGAAACCAAGTTTTCTAAGACCTGGTTCCCTACTGTGTGTGGCATAGAGTTTTGTTTTGATAGCGTGATTGATGACAATGAAGAGCTTTCCGCGTATTTCTATTAGTGTTTGTTAACATATTTATTCATCCTTTTATAATGTTCTCAGGGTTGGCCCACTCCATTATTCTTAGTAAGAAAAATCCTTTTACATAATTTTTTTCATTATAAAAATTATCCATTCTCATCACATAAAATTTGGGATATACAGGGAAAAAAAGAGCAATATGAAAACAATTCTCATCATCCTCACAGTTTCTTCTAGTTTTCTAGTATTTTCTTCTAGTCCTTCCTGCTTTCTATGCATAGTTATTTCTTTGTGGGTTAAACACTTAGGATAATTATTCCTAATCAACCCTTATGATTACCAATGCATAATCATCTTTATTGATATGTAAGTGCCACTTTCTCTTTTTTTCTAATCCCTGTGCTTTCCTTTTACAAGTTGAGCTTGGTCCATCTTGTGCTGGAGAGTCAGGCAGTGCCCAAAGAAGTGCTGGGAGTATGTCAAAAAGACACGGAAATCAGCCTGAAGAGGCTCCCATTAGCCAAATCTGGGATAATTCGAACATCAAAATAATCAAGAAAATAAACCATTAAAAAATCGAAATCTCGAGGGGCCCCTGGGTGGCTCAGATGGTTAGGCGTCTGCCTTTGGGTCAGGTCATGATCCCAGGGTCCTGGGATTGAGTCCTGCATCGGGCTCCCTGCTAGGCGGGGAGCCTGCTTCTCCCTCTGCCTCTGCCTCTCTCTCTCTCTCTGACTCTCATGAATAAATAAATAAAACACTTAAAAAATAAAAAAATAATAAAAAATCGGAATCTCTAAATCGGTAGTGATAATAAATAGATCAGTAATAAGTGGATGAATACCAAGGGAAGAGGCTCTTGCTTCCAGTAAAATGCCAGCTGGCCAATGAGAAGAGAGTTTTAGGGCTGGAAGATCATTTTGCAGCCATCATGGTAAAGCTTGGCTTGAATAACAATCATCATTCTGAAAGGAACTCTTCAAGGCGAAATAAAAGGCTGCTAGTTCGTGACGTGAGGACATGTGAAAATATAGACCACACTTCAGGGTGAGTGTGCAGCTCCCAGGACTCTCTGTAGTCATCATTAGACTAATTTGTTCTAAGTGACAACTGATGGATGCCTTTCAATTCTGCACACTGTGTGTGTGCTTGTTGTTTGTTTGTTCGCTGCGGTGTCTCCAGATGCGAGAGGAGGGAACTAGAGTGTTGGGTGTTTTCAGTTGTCCTAGAGCAAGGCTGCCAAATCTCCTTTCTGCCGTCCCTGCTCATTGAGACGCCAGTCTTCCCAGTCACAATGTCAAACATATTGCCCTGTTGTTTCATCTGTGATAGTAGGTAAAAAGAAAGAAGACAACTCACCTTGGATCATGGCAAACATTTATTAGAAGCCTCCAAGCTGTTTTCTAGTCCCATACAATTTGGAGAGAATGAAGTCCAAATCAGGGAGACAAATATTTGAGAGTTACATGTGGGCTTAGGGAATGTTTACCCAATCCAGGTAAGAATCATTTGTCACTAAAAGGCTCCCCACACCCTATCCCCATCACCATGTCACCCTGCAGAAGGTCAAGTGGCCTATGCATGAGGCTCATTCTCTGCATTCCTCATCAAGGGGCACAGAGGGGTGGGTGAAGTCACTGCTGTCACAAGCCAGTGGTCAGAAGGGGATTAGGAGCAGAGGCCCACAGTTGCAGGGGTAATTCAAATACCCCATACCCTTTCTCCAAAGGCCAAGAAGCAGAGGACTGGGGCTTGCATCCATTTGGGGCAGAACTTTAGAAAAAGAAACAGGTAGACTGAGGTCTAGACATCATTAAGACGAGTGGCCTCAAGTGACATTTACATAGCATATTATGGTTTATCACATATGTCTCCTCAGCCTGCTCAAGAGAAAAGAGGTCTCTCCTGAAGGCCAAGTTCCAGCCCCAGCTCAGCTCCTGAACTGTTGGGTAATCTTGGGCAGGTGACTTGCCTTTTGTGCGTCTCAAGTTCCTCATCTGTAAAATTAGGAATGGAGTAAGTAACGCCTAAGTTGGCACCTGATTCTTTTTTTGTAACCCACATGACAACTCTGAGATGGGTATGAAGAATAGCATTATCCCCATTTTACAGATTAAAAAAAACTGAGGCTCACCAAGTGGGAGAGTCCAGGCCAAAGTTATAGTGGACATAAGTGGCTTTGGATTCCCTAACTCCTGTGTTCTTTCTGTTACACTGAGGACCCTATTGCATAGTTGCTGTTGGAATTTTTGGGACAAAAGACATTGTGGGTGAGGGAACAGTATGGGCAGAGGCCCAGAATCCTGTCTTTGTAGTCCAGGCACATCTGTCTCCCCTTAATGTTCACTACTTTCTCGTTAGGGGTTTAAAAATTGGCTTATCAATGTTTTGTAACCTTGGTTTTCCATCAACACTGAAGGAAGATACCACGGCAGGCAGTCAGAAATAATCCTGGAATGACAAGAATGCAGCCATCTGTCTTAGACATGTCAGCAAAAGATGCACCGGCTGATTCCAAGCAGAGGAAGGCTGAGCTGAGAAGCACCCCCAGTAGGCTATGTGAGCCACAGTGACAGTAGTCCACAAGGTGGGGACTCCCTAGGCAGCCACGTACCAGTCTCTCCTGGGAGCTTCACCCACGTCAACTCATTGAATCCTCACGGCGGTCCCAGCGGTGGGATACATCATCATCCCCATTTCACAGCGGAGAAAATCAAGGCCCTCTGAGGTTGGGGAGCTTGCCCAGAAAGTCTCCAGGTATGTGTTGGAACTGGGAAGGAATCTGAACCAGGTCTTCTGTCTGCAAGGATAACGTCTGTTTTCATAACCTCATAGCGCACGCTGCCTTCCAATTACTTGGGGATAATTGCAAGATTCTGTAGACACACACACACACAAACACACACATGCACACACACGCATGATTAAATGACCACTTAGAGCCAATAATAGTGGATGCCTCTGTGGAGGAAGACTGGTGGCTTGTGGGCGTGGAAAGAAGGGAGATTTCCTTCTCACCATAAATCTTTTACCTTTTTAAAATTTTGAAACATATGCATGTATTATCAATTCAAAATGAATTTATATATTTTAAGATTTTATTTATTTATTTGTCAGAAAGAGAGAGCACAAACAGGGGAAGCAGCAGGCAGAGGGAGAAGCAGGCTCCCCGCTGAGCAGGGAGCCCGATGTGGGACTCGATCCCAGGACCCTGAGATCATGACCTGAGCCGAAGGCAGACGCTTAACCGACTGGGCCACCCAGACACCCCTCAGCATGAATTTACATTTAACAAAAGGTTACCTAGTATATTGGTTTCCTGTGGCCTGCTGTAACCGATTCCCACAGCCTTGGCTTCAAACAACAGAAGTGTCTTTCCTCACAGTTCTGGAGGTCAAAAGTCTGAAATCAAGGTGGGTCAGGGCCACACTCCTGTCCAAGGCTCTTGGGGAGAATCCATTCCTTGCCTCTTCTAGCTTCTGGTGGCTTCGGGCATTCCTTTATTTGTGACACATCACTCCAATCTCTGTGGTCACATTGCTTCTTTCTTCTCTGCATGTGTGTCTTATAAGGTTATGTGTGACTACCCAGTAATCCAGGGTAAGTTCTTCTCAAGATCCTTAACTTTTTCACATCTTTTGCCATGTAAAGTCATATTCAGTAAGGTAATACTCATAGATAGCAGGGATTAGAATGTGGACATATCTTTTGGGGGCCACCATTCAACCCATTACAGCTAGGAATTAGCAGGTGAATCTCCACCCCTTCCTGTCTGATGTTGTTTCCCCCCCCACCGCCACCCAGTGTATCCCTCTGGATAAGACATTGGAGTCTAAACGTGGCAGTTGTACCTCTGAAGCTCATCGAGAATGTTTCTGTGGCCTTCTTGGAGAGTTATGTGCACAAGCTTAGGAGTCAGCCTGGGTGGGTTCTAATCTCAGCTCCCCCATTTCTCACCCGGGGGACCTTTAGGAAAACCAATATGCCCATTTTGCCAGATTAGTGTTACTAAAGTACAATTCTAATACATATAATGACCTTACAGCTCTTCCTTTAGGCCCTCAATGGCTCCCCAGTACCCACCAAATAAACTACATACCCCTTGCCCTAGTGTTCAAGGCCTCCTAATGATTCCCCTGCTCAGGATACTGTGGACTCGCCTTGCTCTTTCCTTGCTCTTTCCTCCTCCTTGCTCATGCTCCTCCCCTGCCTAGAATTCCTTTTCTCCTCACATCTGTGTGTTGAAGTTCCTCTCATCCTTCAAGACCTGATCAAATGCTAGCTTCTCCACAACGTCTTTCTCCTCACCTGGGCAGCATCTCTCCTTCCATTCCTCCCTTGGCCCGCTGCGTCTCCTGCACCAGAGACACCCGGGCTTGGCTTTGGATGGCCTCAGGGCCCCTGCTTGCAGGCAGGAAGTGTGTGTCTTAGGTGCTGTGGGAGCTGGTGACAACACCTGCCAGAGGGACGGTGTTCAATGCTGTTTGTTGAGTTTATATAAAAACGACGGAAACCATACTAGAAGGCCCCTCCGTGGTTGTGTGTTCAAAATCCTGTCTTACAGATGAGGAAACTGCGACCCAGTCTCAGTTGGGAAATCACATGTCTTCAGCCGACTCTTTCAAGACAACTTGAGTGGTCAGAATAAAAGATAGAAAGTTTCCGTTCGGCGCCCTATTAGCTGCTGGCTTGGGAAAATGTATTTCTTTGTAATGCTGTCAAATGGCAAAGGGCATGCCTTTCATGGCGAAGTCTACCTGCTTCAAAGAGATGAATGTGAACAGTTTGGTCCGTTTCTCACCATTCTCTGGCGGTCACCAGCACATCCCAACCCTAGTGTCTCACATGGCCTGGTTAGAATGCTCTTTTCACTTTACTCTATTGTTTTTCTAACCTGCCCTTACTCAGAGTGAAGCCTGAATTGCCCTCCAGATTCAGCATTTTAGAGCTATTTTTGAGAGTCCAACTTTCCCAGGGAAAACACAGGAGACAAATGAAAGCTGCCCTGCGCAGCAAATCCTTCTGGTTGTATGAAACCCCGGAAGGTAAAGCAGTCTTCATCATCGTGTCTTTGTCGTCTGGCAGTGTGTAAAAAGGGTGAAGCAGAAAGGCAGACCAGAACACCTGTGGCCTTTATGAAAACCAAAGCCACCTCCCGCCCTGTACGTTTTTTATTCTCAACGTGCAGCATCTGTCAGCCTCAGATGAAAACCCAGCAACGGGGGACCCCAAACCCGGGCTCAGACAAGCTGACTGAGGAATTAGGAGGATTTTGCAATAAGGCCATTAATTCTGTCGGATTGAAATATCTTCTAATTCCACGCAGCCAAGGACAGCTGTACTTTTGTCTCACGTTTTCCCTGGCGTTTTATGCCTGCTTGGAAGCAGGGGTGCGCATCTTCACGGAAAGGTGGAAGGGCCAGAGATGTGGACTCCAGAGAGATGGGGCTCTGGAGCTTTCACTTACCAGCCAGAAGGGGGTTTGGCCATATCACTTAAGTCTCCAAGTCTCAACTACCTTGGATTATGTATTTTACCAGGAGTTCACACTATAAGGTTATGTGCAAATTGTTCATTTACCACCAGGTTGAGAGAAAAGGAAAAGCAAAACTATATGGTTGAAGGAAGGCCATTTATCTCAATTTTCTCTGTTACATGAAGGGAGAATTCACCGGTACCTCCTGACCTTGGCCCTTTGACTTACGTCGGACCTAGGGAAGGTGTGGTCTCAGCACGTGGAGTGGGAGGAGCTTGCAAGGGGACCCAAGTGGACTTAGCTATGGAGAGGGGACACTGCTGGGACCAAGATGCTACTTCAGTGAGCTTGGGGTCATCATCTAAGACAGCCCTGCATTCCTCTGCATTCGGTGAGGAACATCCTAATTACTCCTTCTGGGTCCCAGATAATTGAAACCACCAACAGCTCTTGGAAGGCAGTCTCATCTTAAATTGTTCTCTTTGTTTATGCATTCTTCAAGTATAAAAACAAATGCTAATATTCTTGCTATAATGTTAAATCAACAAAGAGACAACAAAGTGGGATCTCAATGATGTAAAAACTATATATGCATAGAAGAAAAGACTTGATGAAAATGTTAATAGTGGTTGTATTTGAAAGAATAGACAATGGAATTTTTTCAGCTTTTGTATATATTTTTTAAAAACTTAAAAGGGTTCATAAATTACTCTCATTATAAAAAAGGATTCTATTCAGAAATATTTTAATGCCCCAAGGGAAAGTTTATTTTTATATTTTAATGAAAATTACATATATAACTTCAATAAAAATTAATGATGGCATGCTATAATACCAAAAATTTAAGAAGATGTTTTATGAATATTAATAGAGATAACTAGTCTGAGTCACTCAGTAAGTGCAATACAGCTGAAACTATTTTACAATAAATTTCTTACACACAAAAAAAGACTGTGTGATCAAAAAACTATTCAGTTTCTGAAACTAGTACACTCAATAACAAGGAATATTTGATGCATTTAAGAGCACAGTGGGGCACCTGGGTGGCTCAGTCTTTTAAGCTGATGACTCTTGATTTCGGCTCAGGTCATGATCTCAGGGTCATGAGATCAAGCCTTGCACGGGCTCCGAGCTGGTCATGGAGGCTGCTTGAGATTCTCTCCCTCTCCCTCTGTCCCTCGTCCTCCTGTGTGCACACTCTCTCTCTAAAAAAGACAAAACAAAACAAAAAAAACCCAAAAAAACAAAACCCAGCACAAAAATTTAGGCAGCCTCTTTTTTTTTTTTTTTTTTTTACTTTGTTGTAATAGAAGGAACCTGCATCTGTGCAGGGGCCAAAACATTGTCAGCCCTGTTCAAGGTTGTAAATTGGAATTAATGGAGGAATATATTAATGTTTTAAAATACTGTGATTGTTATGAGTACATGCATGTCACAGAAATGTATGTTCTATAGCAACACTATGCAAAGTTAAGCTCCGTGGAACCATTGTTGGCAAGAGGTCTTGGATGTTACCTGAGTAAAGGGTCCAGGGGCTGGAGATGCTGCCTATACCTAGGTTAATGTGTTCCATGGGCCTCATCCTTGCACGACTTCTTGGAGCCTCAAGTATACTAATTTTCACTGTGACTCTCATGAGCGGTGGGCAATAAGTGGCATTCGCTCGAAGCATTTGCCCAGGAATGTTTTTTTTTATCCCCCACAAAGGACACTTCACATTGGGATGCACAGTGTCATAGGCAACCAAGGACTTCATCTTCTTCCCAGTTAATCTTGAGACAAAGCTGAGTTTGTCAACCTCTCTTGCCACAAGACGGGTGTTTTATGAATTTGAAGCACATGTGCAGATCACCCTAAACCACTTAAGGAATCATGTCTTGTGTCACAGAAGCTCAGTTCCCACTATCATGCAGAGTCTCATTTGGAGTCATTCCCTCACGGAAGCTTGGTTCTGATGAGACAGCAGAAGACCAGAAGGGATTTGTGAGCTTCATCCCAGGTTCCGTGCTTTGACCTCCTTTATAAAGTGGCTTAGGAATGACATGCAACTCTGCAACTCACCCCCTTCCACCCCCTCGACACACAGCTGCACGCCCTTGGCTGGCATGCGAAGCGTGCTTAGAAAGGGGAAGAAAAACCCAAACCACAAAACCCCACATTCCTTTTGAGGGCTGTATGTGTACACACCCTAGACCTTTGACCCTCTTTCCTTGCTGAACAGGGGTTTTCGAGGCTTGGAATCAGGAGTCCTGGACGGTTAAGATGCAGCTCTACCATGTCCTAGTCTAATGGTTTCGGCATTTATCCTCTTGGGGGCTGTTTGTTCATCTGTCAAATGGAGCCAATGAGCCCTGGGTCCTGTCTAACCTTCCAGGATTGTGGTAAGGATAAAACAATAAAAATGCTACGAAAAGTTGGAAATGTGAGGCTTGGTTACACCATTATAAACGGAAACAGTCCACTTTCTGTTTCTGAGGTGTGGGGAGAGAGAAAAATGGGAAAGGCTGGAAGACCTAATGAGTGTTCCCCAGACTCCTAGACTCCTCCCAGCCTCCCCAGCCCCCTTTCCCACTTACCTCATCAGTCTGTCTGCTCACCAAATACAGGGCTTCCATGTGCTCTAAATTTAGACAGCAAAAGTGGGAAAAGACAAGAGGCATGAGGTAAAGTGCATATAGAATACCATCCATAGCCTCTTTATTCCAATTCTGATAAAATGTTTACACCAAATGAACACTTCCTTTAAAAATAATATGTAAGAACATAAAGGCTGGAAGTATCTGAAACAGCTGTAAAAACTTCTGAAGAAACAAGTAGATTCCAGTAACAACACAGCACAACACACCTCTGAAGCTGAGGCCAGAATCTGGGGAAACTTGCCATTAATTATAAGGTAGATGGAACTAGATAAAGTCTACCAAAGTGGCAGAAAGAGTAAGATGACCTGGCATTGTGTCATGTAGATTCCAAGTGGTTGTTTAGATTTTTAAAATACAAAACAACAACAAGAAGAAAGAAGTACTAATAGGAAAAAAATACATATATAGACTATTTCTATCATCTTGGTGGTGAAAGCCTTTCTAGAAATGAATCAAAGACCTATACCATAAAGAAAAACATTGCTTTATTTGACTATGGATAAAAAATTTTTATTCATGAAAAAGCTATAAACACCTCATGAGTTGCTGGTGGGATTTTAAAAATATGCAACCACTTTGGAAAACAGTCTGGCAGTTCCTCAAATGTTAAATATAGTTACCACATGACCCAGAAATTTTACTCCTAGGTATACACCCAAGAGAAATGAAAATACACATCTACACAAAAACTTATACATGAATGTTCATAGCAGCATTATTCATAATGGCCCCAAAGTAGGAACAACCCACATGTCTATCAAGTGATAAATGCATAAACAAAATCTGGTGTACCCATACAATGGGCTATTATTCAGCCACAAAAAGCGATCAAGTACTGATACATGCTACAACATAGATTAAGCCTGAGAACGTTATGCCGAGTGAAAGAAGCTAGTCACAAAGGATCACATGTTGTATGTGTATTTTGTGTATGTTCATGTATTTATATGAAATGTCCAGAATAGGCAAGTCCCATTATTCTATCCAGAATAGAAACAGAAATGGATTAGAGGTACCAGGAGGTACATGGTCTGGAGGATAATTCTGGGCAATGACTACCAACAAGTTCAAGGTTTCTTTCTGGGTGCTGAAAATATTCTGGAATTAGAGGATGGTGATGGTTTCATAACTGTGAATGTATTAAAAACCATTAAAGTGTATACTTTAAAAGGGTGAATTTTACAGCATGTGATTATTTCTCAGTAAAGCTATTATTTAAAAAATATAAACAGCTACAATAAAAAACATAAAATGGCAAAGCTAATGACAATTGTAACATTTCACTAGATGGTTAATACCTCTAATATACAAGGAATTCTTACATAAAAATTTGAAAATAAATATCTCATTTTAAACATTGGCAAAGGCCAAGATACCCATTTCATAGGAGAGGAAGTACCAAAGGCCAATAAGCACTTTTGTTCATGCTTATTTTGAAAATTTGAAGTTCCTGTGGTTATTAGACCTGCTGCTAGAGGTTATCAGTTAGTGTGTTAATAATGAAGCACACAGGGCGCCTGGGTGGCTCAGTTGGTTAAGCGACTGCCTTCGACTCAGGTCATGGTCCCGGAGTCCTGGGATCGAGTCCCGCATCGGGCTCCCTGCTTGGCGGGGAGCCTGCTTCTCCCCCTGACCCTCTCCCCTCCCATGCTATTTCTCTCTCTCTCTCTCTCAAATAAAATAAAAATTAAAAAAAATCTAAAAAAAAAAAATAATGAAGCACACATTTACTATGTCATATTCTAAGAAGAGGTCCTCAAGCTTTATCAGAGCACCAGTGTGTGTATGGCACAAAAAAGGTTAAGAATCCCTGAATTACAGGAAACAGGTAAAATAAAGTATGGCATATCCGTATAAGGAAATGCTATGTAGCCATTATAATTGATATTGTAGGTGAGAATGTAGAGCAATTGGAACTCTCATACACTGCAGGCAAGAATGTAAATTGGAGCAACCATTTTGGAGACTATTTGGTATTTTCTACTAATGCTGAACATTTGCATACCCTATAACCTGGCATTTACACTCCTAAGCATATATGCAACAGAAATATATACATATGTTCACCAAAAGACATCTAAAGAATTTATAGCAGCTATAATAGCCAAAACCTGGAAACAACCCATGTGTCTATCAACAATAGAATGGAAAAATAAATTGTGATACATTTATACAAAGGAATACTCTATGGTAGTAGTAAGTGTGAATGAACTGTTTCCAAATGCAACAACATGAATGAATCTCATTCCTCTACTGTTGAGTGAAAGAATATAGACATAAGAATAAATACCATATAATTCCATCAGATAAGTTCAAAAACCAGGCAAAAACTCATTAGAAATTAGAAGGCAGTATAGTGGTTTCTTTTGGGGGAGAGGAGACAGTACCTAGGAGAGGATCCAAAAGGTTTTTGGGGGTGCTGGGTAATGATCTATTATTTTATATTGGTTCTGCATATAGAAGTACATCTCATTTGTGAAAACACTGTGAGCCTTACATTATAATTTTTGCATGTTTCTGTTTTTTGTTACACTTCAATGAAATGTCTGCTTCAAAATGACAAAAATTTTAATGACATGGGAAGATGTTCATGCTATATTATTGAAAATACAGGTTAATATAGGTGCAAACTGTATAAATGCTACGTTTCTTTTTCTTAACTATGTGCCTATATTGCCAATTCAGTGCAAAGGAAAGCAGGAAAGCAGATTACAAACTGTATCATCTCATTTTTGTGAAAATAAAGATCTGGCCCTATCAATATCAAAATGATAACCATGGTTACCTCTGGGTAATGGGATTATGGATGATTTTTCTTTTTAAAAAAACATCTGTATTTTCTGTCTTCTAGTGTGAACATATATTTCTTTTGAGAATGAGAAAAGTCCTAACTATCTCTTGCAATTCCGTTTTAATCAATGTTACTGAAGTGTAATTTTTGTACAGTACAGTGCACTGATTTTAAGTGTACAGTTCAATGAATTTTACAGAGGCATGTGCACCCGTGTCCTTACCACTTAAGACTGGAACATTTCCACCCCCAGAAAGTCCCTTCATGTTTCTCCATAGTCAACCTTTACCTCTCCTAAGGATGTAGCCATGGATCTGATTTC